TTGAGATCTGGGCCATTGTTTCTCAACATTTCCCACACTCCTTCCTCTCCTTTCCCTCAAAAGTCCTGTCATGTGTCTAACAGCATGGCCTCTCTTTCCCGCTGTCCATTTTCATTTGTTCTTTTTTCTGCTCTGCTCTTCACGGTACACTACCTCTATCACTCTCATCAAGCTTGCCCACTCTGTCTTCTTCCAGTTCGGATGTGCTGAGGCCCATTGACAAACTGCTTATTCCAATGAGATCTTCCCCACTCCCGAGTTTCCACTGGGTCCCTTGTTTTTCTCCCATTCCCTAGGCCTCTCTCTATTCTCTGTTTGATGTGGCATTGTTGTCAAGCTTTCACTTAGTTCTATTTCTACACTTATTTGCTTGTGTGTCTACTGTGCGTGTTTTCTGGCATGGGAGCGTGTATTCTAAAGCTTACCGATGTGGGGCCGAGGACAACTTGCTGGCTTTCTCTTTCCATGTTGAAGTCAGAGGATGACAAGCAGGTCCTCAGACTTAGCAGCAATTGGCCATTGTCATCGGGTCCGTCCTCCCAGCCGTCATTTTCTTCTTTAATCTTCCTACCCATCCCATCGGTTAATATTTTTGCAATGGCTACTTTGAAGTATTCTTGTTAAGGATAGCTTCTGCTCTCTCTCACAGGAAGTGGCCATTGTTTGCTGTTCTGCTGTATGGGTTATAATTTCCTGTTTCTTTGCATGCATTCACTTTTTTGTTGTTGTTTGAAGTGGCCACATTTGAAATTTCTGGACCACTCCCAGCTGCTCTTGTATGCTTCTTGTTATTTGCTTGTTTAGTTATTTATTGTTGGCTGTGCTATGTTATGAGGTCCAACTCCACCTACAACTGGTGTCCCCTCACCCTGTCCATGCACAGCACACACACATGCATGAACAGGCCTGCTCACCTTCCCCAGTAATCCAGTCACATAGTAATTCCTGCAGAGGATGGTTTCTTAGGTTGTTGCTGGGTGTGTTCAGACTCTTGTAAGCATAGCTCCTCGCTGCTCTTGTCTGTTTCTCTCTCTCTCTCTCTCTCTCTCTCTCTCTCTCTCTCTCTCTCTCTCTCTGTGTGTGTGTGTGTGTGTGTGTGTGTGTGTCTTTCTCTTGTCTGTTTTGATGGGTTTTGGTGTACAGCCCAGGTAGGACTTGAGCTCCAGCTCCTGCCTCAAACTGTCCAGTTCTGGGTAACAGTCCTGCACCACCTATTGACAGTTCTTCATTGTGTCTCAGGGATCGAAGCTGCCTTTTGGGACATCTTCTTCTGTTCTGGGAGTTTCAATTTTTTTTAAGTTCACTATTTTATTGAATGAAAGCATTGACATACATATTTATTGATTTTATTTTATGTGTATGGGTGTTTGGCCTGCATGTTTGTGGCTGGTCCCCAAAGATGACAGAACATTGTATTGGATGCCCTGGATCTGAAGTTACAGAAGGTTGTGAGGGCTGAGATGTGCGTGCTTGAATTGAACCCAGATCCTCTTGAAGAGCAGCCAGTGATCTTAATCAATGAGCCATTTTCTCCAACCCCTAAAACTTCAGAGTTTTAACTAAAACCTTTGATGTGGAAAATTTCAAACATGTAAAAGAAAGGTGAGTGAACCCACACATGTGCAAATCACTTATGTGCAAGAATAATTGACTCTCAGTCAACACAATTTTAAATCACAGCCTGGGAAGAACCATCTTCCAGGCTGTAGGTAGGGCTCAAAGGGAAAGTCCAGTGTCTCGAAGCTAAGACTTTTTTATCTGAGGATTTTTAGGGAAGGAAAAAACTCATACATAGTCTCTTGATGGTTTCTCTCTTTATTCTCTCATGTTGGCTGTGAATCTCTTTGTTCTTCACAGCTGTATATACCCAACAGAGTCTTTCATGTTGAATATTAGGAGTTACATTTGAAGGTCCCATTCCATTCTTAAGTAAATGATTAAGAACAGAGTCATCCAGACAACTCACATGCAATAAATCTCAGCTCCCTAGCTGGTGGGCTGTAACTCTCAGCTGCAAAGGAAGAACCCGTCATTCTGCTTTCAATCTAGAGAGATAGAAAAGGAGACTTGTAGCTCCTTCTCAGGGCTATGAAGTCAGGTCATTCTCAGCCGCCCTGGTCAGCTTGGAAATCTAACCCCCACTGGTGGTGTAGCTGAATGAAAGCCGAATTTGTCTCTAACCTCAGTTAATTGCTCCCTGTCACCCGCACAATTTCAGAACCCAACATAAAAAAACAGTTGGCTGAACTCTGAGTCTTCAGGTTACAGACCCATATTCTAAGACTGAGGTTAGGCATTTGTGCAGAGAGTTAATCACTGACCTAGTTTATCTTGTCCTAGGTTATCAGCCAGACCTAGCAGTAGAGACTGGCACAGCCATTAGTTTGCTTTGAGCCTCTATCCTTGGTTCAACAAATCAGACAGCTGGATATTATCACTTTGTGAACTGGACTGCTTTTCCTGGGAATCTTATAAACTATTAGCAAGGCTCTTGGTCTAATCTAAAGCTATTTTGAAGCTTTATATCACCTAATAGTGTACAACTCTTTTGGCAGATGGGGACATACTACTATTTTCCTATGTCATCCTGATTTGTGATCTCAAACAGCTTTGTGGTGATATTTTATTTGTGTTCTAACAAATAAAGCTTGCCTGGAGATCAGAGGGAAACCTCAGCCACTATATCAAACATAGAGGTCAGGCAGTAGTAGCATATTCCTTTAATCCTAGCATTTGGGAGGCAGAGATTCATTCAGATCTCTGAGTTCAAGGCCACACTGGGAACAGAGCCAGGCATGGTGGCATATACCTTTAATCCCAGCACTAGTTAACCATAGAGGTCTGGAGGTTAGTACACACAGACAGGAAGTGATAGAGCTAAGCAGAAAGAGAAAGTAATATAGCTGGACAGATAGAGGAAGTAAAGTGGCAGGGTACAGAAAGCTATACAGGCCTGAGTATACAGGAAGTAGTTCTCTTGGGCTGAGGATTTCCTAGCAATAAGCACTTGTGGCTGGCTTGTTCTATTCCTCTGATCTCTCAGTTTCCCCCCAATATCTGTCTCCTATTTTTTTTATTCATAAGAGCATATAGAAATTCATGTTTCATGTGTCAACCCAACATTTGTGGCACAAATTCACAAAAAAGTCACTTGCCTGGGGCTCAGGCCCGAGCTGTATGTGGCCAGAGTCTTCACTCTATGTGGGCTGGAGACTCTTCGGCTTCTTCTCTCCTGATGGGTTGTGGGCTCTTTCTGGATCCCCATCTTGGAATGCTACCATACTAGGTTGCTATCTTGAAACTTTCTTGGGCTTCTACTGTTCTACACAATTGGCAGAGTTGGTGAGTTACTTAAGATATATTAAAGGGCAAAATTAGTTAAACAGAATTTTTTCTTCCACATAAAAAATGGGAAACATTTTTACAATGGAAGGAATTTGTTCTCTGCTTGATTACACATTAGGTGGTTTGAAAAGGGAACAATTAATGAGAGGATAATTAATGTTGATGGGAGTTACATAATATCAATTGTGAATATTATTTGTTTGATCATTTTTGTTTTATCATTAAAAAGGTTAGTTAATATGAGTGCCAAGGTAAAAGTTTTAGAAAAACTTGTTAAAGCAGTTTATAGAGATATTCAGACCCAGACAGAAGAATTTAAAGGTGAACCAAGAAACAGTTTAAGGCTTTCAAACAGCCAACCTTAATCTATCCGGGAACCTTTCCGGAACTGCCAAATGCTCAAGGCTGTGTATGAG